CAGTGAGTTAGGTTAACGTTGTGTTCTTGAGTTTGATGTATTAAGTTGAGCTTTTGCTTGGCGCATAGCTGTTTGATCATACGCACAAATCAAATGATCAACATAATGCCACGAGCCGGGAACCAGAGCCCGGAATTTTGAAGCTGAAAAGTGAAAAACGAACGAAAGATTTCTGGCCCACTGAGGCGTGCTGCAGGTCCAACGAAGAGGAAGATGCAACGATTTCTAGCTGAAGTGGAGCAAGCGTCAGAGTAATGGAAGTCAGTTCGGGGAATGAACGAAAACGTCAATTATGAAGAGTTTCGGGATCGATTTCGTTATTTGCTGCTTGCAGTGCAGTCAGCGGTTCGTATTTTGGAAGGAATCAATAACCAGTGGATGAAACTGATCTAGAATTTTCCCGAAGGAAAGCAAGAAGAAGAGCGGTTATATGAGAAAGCAATGGAAGACGAAAACAGCTTCATGACGACTTTGGAAAAAGAAGAGAAGCCGTGGTGATAGTGGAATCTGAGAAAGAGAGAGTGGAAATGCTGATACAACAATACTGCGAAGATAATAAGCCCTTCAAGAGCTCCAGCTTTCAAGAAGTAAAATCAAACGAAAGGCAGTGCATCAAGCTTCAGAATGTTGAATTGCCAAAATTTTCAGGTGAAATTATTCATTGGCCATCATTCTATGCACATGTTCAACTTGCAGTAGATAGGCAAAATATACCATCGATTCGAAAATTAGCCTACCTCCTCGGCTGTTTAAAGGGAAAAGCAGCTGCGGCAGAAGAAGGGTATGCTATTACGCCAGAAGACTACTCGCTGATCTTAAATGTGCTCAAAGAAAAATTTGGGGATTCGAAAACGATCATAAGGCTACTCTACATTAGGTGAAAATGTGGAACAGCCAAAAGTGGAAATGGAGATTAAATCCAAGTTACCGCGATGGATGTTGCAGGAAATGTACGAACTGCAAAAATGATTTATGGATGGTAAAAAAGCTGAGAAAAAATTTAGAAGTAATAATAAAAAGAAAAGAAGCAGTAAACCGAGTATGCGAAGAAAGTCAGAAGTATAAGAAATGTTCACAGGAAAGGGAGACTGCTCTTACGAGAAGAATATTTCCAGGAGACCAACGAAGTTCCGCTGTATTTATTGCTCGAAAAGGAACCAAGAGACTGTGCTTGTTTTGCGCACAGAATCATTGGAATGATCAATGTGCTGAATATCCGATATTTGAAAAACGAATGGCCAGAGCGCGTGAGCTACGATTGTGCTTCATATGTCTAAAAAACCACTACAGCAGAAACAGCATCCAGCCAGATACCTACTACCGTTGTAATAAGCAGCATCTATAGGCCTTGTGCAGAAGCTTGCGGATGAAAAAAGGATCATCCCCACAAAAAGTGCAATGTTCGTACTGGAGACACAGTCAGTGAACGAAGCCTCACCGACAACGATTACCTCAGCAAATGAAGTAAGCGACAATAAAAATACCATCCTATTACTTTGTAAAGAAGTACAAATAGTGGACCCGAAAATTGGAAAAGAAGCGACTGCAGTGGTTTTCCTGGGCGTTGGCTCACAACTGTCGTTCACCACTGACGATTTATCGAAACAACTAGGGCTTAAAGAAGGAAGAAAGGAAATTCTAAAAAAAACAAGGATTGCCGAAGAACAAGTAAAGGAATATTCCACAGCCGTCGTCATCATGCATCTTATCGAATAATTGGCCAACGCACGGGCTGCCCGTGCGAAGATGCGTTTTTTGCATGG